CCTCCTCTTCGTCGTCCTCCTCCTCCTCCTCCTCCTCCTCACCCTCTGATTGGCGATGAATGGGCGGTTGGGGGGGCGATGCTCCCCCAACCCTGGGCCAGTCCCCCCTCTGGTCGGCGCCCCCCCAGAAAAAAAAGCGCCCGTCCTCGCAACTGTTCCGCAACCACTCGTTGGAGAGGCACTCCCGGAAAGACAGCCGCCTGCAGACCGACGGCCCCGCCTCCCCTCCCCCTCCTCCCCCCTCCGCACACACACACACACACACACACGTGCGCGCGCACATATACACTTGCTCTATATTGCGTGCGTGCTGTCCCCGCTGTGGTCTGTGCTCTGTTGTGCCGCCCTCTGCGTACGTCGCGGCCCTGGAGCTTGTTCAATCATCTTCGCGCTTCGCGGCGCGTGGAGCGCAGTGGCACCACATGAGCTACGCGTCCGAAGTGCAATAACGCACTGTGTGGGACCCATGCTGGCCAACATCTTGGAAACATGAGCAGGCTCAAAGGGCAGCGAGAGAGCAGAGAGGAAAACACCAGAAGGGAGAGGGGACGAGGAGGAGGAGGAGGAGGCGGAGGACGAGGAGGAGGAGGAGGAGGAGGAGGAGGAGGAGGAGGAGAGGGGGAGGAGGAGGAGGAGGAGGAGGAGGAGGAGGAGGAGGAGGAGGGGAGATGAAAGGAGGAGGAGGAGGAGGAGGAGGAGAGAAGAATGAGAGGAGGAGGAGGAGGAGAAGAGGAGGAGGAGGAGGAGGAGGAGGAGGCGGAGGAGGAGGAGGAGAAGGGGGAGAAGGGGAGAAGATGGGATGGGGCCCCGCTTGAGTGGAGGATCGCGGACCGGGGGACCCAAATCCGGAAGCGCCCGCTGCTCGGGGCGCCCGCTCGCGCGCCGTTCCTGGTCACCGATCTCGCTCTCTCTCTCTCTCTCTCTCTTTCTCTCTCTCTCTCTCTCTCTTTGCCAAATATCTCTCTCTCTCTCGTTCTCACTCTCTCTCTATCTGATTATATCGATCTCTCTATCTTTCTTCTTTTCTCACTTGCTCTCTCTAGTCGGCCACAGTGGAATGAATCAATTCGTCGAGCTGCCTCTTCGCCAGGGTGACAGAACGCAGGAGGAGGGGGAGGAGGAGGAGAAGCAGCAGCAGGAGGAGGAGGAGGAGCAGGAAGGGGGGAAGAGGAGGAAGTGGGGAGGAGGAGGAGGAGGAGGGGGAGATGGATGAGGTAGGAGGAGGACGGAAGGAGGAGGAGGAGAAGGAGGAGGAGGACGAGGAGGAGGAGCAGGAGAAAGAGGAGGAGGAGGAGGAGGAGGAGGAGGAGGAGGAGGAGCAGGAGAAAGAGGAAGGAGGCCCAGGCGTGTGAGATGCTTGGCGTCCCTTCTCGGGGTCTACCTCCCCTTTTGAGCGGGAGGGGCAGGCGGCACCGCCAGCTCGCCAGCGCGACTCGCGGGCCAAGGAGAAGGAGGAGGAGGAGGAGGAGGAGGAGGAGGAGGAGGAGGAGGAGGAGGGGAGGAGGTCGGAGAAACCCACCAGGTCGGGACGGATCCCGGGAAGGCTCCGGGGAGATCCGATTTCGGCCGGCATGGGGCCATAGTGCGGGAGAGCCGCTGGCGCCTCGCGAACAAATCACGAAAATCACGAACAAACTCACTATATAGTGCAGGGCCGCCTCGGGCTTCGTCCTCTCGACCTCTCCGGGCGCGCCCTCGGCCCAGCCATGGGGCCGCCTCGGGCTCGCCCAGCGCGGGCTGCAGCGGGGGGGGGAGGGGGTCGCCGCGAGGCGAGCGCGAAGCGCTCCTCTGAACCTGCAGCGAGGACTGTGCCTCTGCCCCAGATGTGCGGCGTCTTGATGTTTTTCGTACTTGAGCAGGGACCGACCGTCCCGGCATTCCTATAGTCCTACCACGACATGTTCTTAGAACCCCAAAATGCTCGAAAAACAAAGGCAAGGTTCTTAGAACATAAGCCCGATGTGATAAAACAAGACAGCCCCAGCCAGAAATGTTCTAAGAACATTTCGTGGAAGCCACAAAAGGTTCTTAGAACATTGTTTGGTAGGGCCACAGGCGAGCCAGGACGCTTCGTCACTGCTTGACGTACGGGGCCCTTGGAAATCCCGACCCTCCGACCCAGAGCTCTGGACCCCTTCCCCGGGACCGGTGCTTCGTCCTGACTCGTTTTTGGACGGCCCCGAGGCCCGGCGAGGGCCCCCAAGGGCCGCAAACGGCCCAAAACCCGCCGCCCTGATTGTTTCACGACGCGATCGTGTCTGGGGCGGCGAGAGGATCTTCTTCCCGAGGATCTCGCGGCAGCGCCTGCCCGGGCAGCGCGCGGGCAGGCGGACAGCGGGCGGACCTGGCCGGGAGGCGGCGCGGCGCGCGGCCGCCACACTGCAGGCTCAGCCGCCTACTGGCCGCCGCCCTGGTTCGAGATGTTGATGTTGATGGCCGGCTGCGGGCCCGTGTCGCCGCCCTTGTCCTCCTCGACCACCTCGGCGGGGGGCTTCGCGAAGCCCCACTTCACCGCCTGCTCCTGCCGCCACGCGTACCACGAGGACTCCGTGTCGTAGAACATCTTGTAGAGGAGGTATGCAGAGACAGCGGCCGTGACCGCCGAGGCGATGAGGAACCACGTCGCGGTCTTCATCTCGATCGCGGTGACCGGCTTGCCCTTGCCATCGACCCACACGCCCGCCTGGCACATCATCTCGGTCACTTCCGAGCCCATCCAAAAGGAATACTTACCCGGCGGCTTCACGGTGCACTTCGTGCCGTCGGGCATCTCGATCCGCATGACGCGCTGCGAGTCCATGAAAGAATTCCTTTCGTAGTCCTCGTGCTCCTTGCACACGTACTCCTCCTCGCCCCACATGGGCACCAGGCAAGGCGGGCCCAGCTGCCCTGGCGCCGGCGCCATCGAGACGGGCACTGAGGACGGGTAGGACGCCGCGCCCACCGGGTGAGGCGCGTAGGACGGATAGGGAGCCGGGTAAGACATCGCCTGCGTCAGCGCCCCGTCGGGGCCCACGACCTGCGCCACCCTGCCCGCCGGAGGGAGCTCGGCTGCCAAAGACGCATGCGGAGTGGACGCCAAGAGCACGAAGAAGACGGCCTCCTTGACGAGGGCTGTAGACAAATGCGGCGCCATGTGTGCGAGCGGCCTGCAGCCGTTGCCGAGGCTGACGCTGGCTGGACGGCAAGAGCCTTTGCTTGTAGAAGGGGCTTGAACGAAAATGCCTGGGGCCGAGGGGGGCCCTGGTGGACGACCGACATTGGAGAAGGGGAAGGGCGACCAGCAGCGGGGAAGAAAGGAGAGAGACCAGTGCCGGAAGGATGGGGGGAATGGGGAGAGGAACGCACCGTGCGGGTTGAGATCAGCAAAATTCCCAGGAGGGGGGGCAGAGTGGTCAATTCCACTTCGCTCTGAGCGGGAATATAAGAAGGAACGGGGGAGAGCATAATCACTTGGGCATCCTCTCGTTGATGGGAGCAGCGGTGCGCACAGGCCCTGTCCTTCCCGCGCCAGCCCTGAGGCGCCCACGTGCGCCGTGATGCCTGCAGGCACAGCGATGCTTTCAGGCAGTGTGGCGATCACAGGCAGGTTGCAGATCGCACGCATGCACGGTGCTGACACCTCCTCTGGTGCCCATGGGACCCGGGGGTGCTCACAGGACCTGTGGTGCTCGCAGACTTTGCGGTGATCGCAGGTCCTGTGGTGCCTGCAGGCACGGTGTTGAGGGGGAGGGGGGAAGGGAGCGGGATCGGGCGGAGAAGCGATGGGCGAAGCGAGAAAGAAATGCAATCGAAGACGAAATCTGACTAGGTTTCACCTCCAATGTCGAAGACGGAACAATCACATAATCGTATTATCCGGCGTGCCACCGTACCTCGGGTGCTGAATTCCCACTCCAATTTGCCAGTCGGGGAGAAGAGTGAACACATCGCGCTCGAGACGCTAACCCTGAGTGCACAGACGGTTTGCTACTTGTCACCCAGCACTGCAGTAAGGGAGAAGTTCTCGAGCAACAGCCCTGCTACAGTCGGACCTGGGCCAGAAGAACATCCCTCGAGGACGTGAGACCCTCCGTCGGCCAAAACAATACAGAAACATCCAGGGGCACCCTCCGCGGGGTGCACAAGAGCACCCGACAAGCACGAGGAACATTAGGGTGGCCTCCCCCAACCGACCTCGACCTTATACCTCGGTCTGACTGTACCCCTACAGGTCACCTTCGGCCGCGCCTCGCGCCCCCCGCAGGGCACGCAAACATCTTCGCGCCTTCGCGCGGCGCCACCTCAGCGAGAGGGCCACCGCTGCGGCCCCAAGCCCCTTGAAGCGCGAAGCGCGGTCATGTCCGCGCCCCCGCAGGCCACCTGGACTTTTCGCCGCCCCTCTCACTGCAATGCAGCAGCAGGCCTAAAAACAACACCCTCAACTGCCTCCTCCCAAGCATGCGACGTCTTGTTTTTCTCTCCTCTGCGGGCTCCCTGGAAGTCCAGACCCTTTCCCCGGGACCGGTTTTGCATCCTGGGTCGTTGTTTGACGGTCCCGAGGCCCGGCGAGGATTTCCAAGGGCCGAACACGGCCAGATACCGCCCGCCCTAATTTTTTCCGACGCGGTGATGATGTCTGGGACTGTGTCTTAGCAGGCGTGTCCTGAGGCAAGCGGGTCATGGGGGCCCCCTTTCCCCCGGGTCCCCAGACCCGTGGGCGGGAGAACATGGCAGTACGCGCGTTGGCGATGCACCTCCCAGACCCCCGACGTCGTGACTTTACCACACGGTCGACCCACAGAGGCCTGGACCCCTTCCCGGGGGACCAGTCTTGCATCCTGAGCCGTTGTTTGACGCTCCCGAGGCCCGGCGAGGCCCCCTCGGAGGCCGAACGTGGCGACAAAACCTCCCATCGTGATGATTCTTGTTTTCGCAGCGCGAGGAGGTCTGGGGCATGGCCTGCAACGCGCGCTGGCGACGCACCTCTCGGGTCGGGCGAGAGGGGGAGATGACCAAGGGGGGGGGTAAGAATCAGCTCACAAAGATGATTTTCCCGGCGCCTCCTGGCGCCGGAGGCGGCTATGTATCGAGGAATGGGCCCCTCGGTGAGGCCGAAACCAGCTGCACGCAGCAAGTTTCGTAACCCTCCCTTTCCCTATCCCCCCCTTTCGTCCGGCCCGAGCCTCGGCCCCGCCCGAGCTGGGCCCAGGGAGCGGGCCCCGGGGGAGCCTCGCCGGGTCCAGCTCCAGCATCCCCTCCAGAAGCCCGACGGCCCCCGGCGAGCAGCCGGAAGCCCGGAGCGCCGCCAGGTCCAGGTCGTCCTCGCGCCGAGGGGCCGCCGAGGGAGCAGACTTCTGGAGGCAGGCCCCCCCCCGACACACCCCCGAGATCCTGGCGTTGCCATTTTTTCTGCCACGGGCGTGGTCGCTCCATTTTTGGGCCCCAGGATCCTCCCAGGTCGATTCAGTTCGAACAATGACGCCAAAAAAAATGGGGTGCAGGTCTCCAGTCGCGATGCTTTGCGATGTTGCAACTTTTCCAACGTCGGCTTTCAGGGATAGTCCCAGACATGATCGCATCGTAAAAAGAACAGCAGGGCGGGCGGTGTGTGTGGCCCCTGGGAGCCCTCGCCACTCAAGACGAAAAACGGGTCCCGGGGAAAGGGTCGGGACTCCCAGTGAGCCCATCGAAAAGATACCGGGTCGCCGCACGTCTGGGTTGCCCTCACCGCCGACACTCGAGCAGCAACTGGCATCCACGCTCTGCTGTTGGAAAAAATGCTGTTGCACACGTCCGACGCCGCCGCCATCGACTACCCGCAGGAGTGACCCTGGGTAAGAGTGACCTTTAGTGCGCGGACTAGGGGGGCGCAACGTGGCCAAATCCAGGCGCGCCGACAGCCGCTATGGCGTCGCGCTGAGCGATCGGGGGGACCCGGATGAGCCCGCACCAAAGGTCACTCCGGCGAAAGGTCACTCTTACGCCTCATCTTTGGACACCCGAAATGGGTACCGAAAGAATGGGCAACATGCCCAACAACAAATGTTGTCCCGAACCAACAGCGGCCGCTGTTGGGCGGGCGGCCTCCTGTCTCGAGTGGACACAGGCCGCGGCGGCGTGGACAGCGAGTCCTGTTCAAAATGAACCAATTCGGGCGTCCAGATCATCGACGCCACGGTCCACGAGCACCGCATCCTGAACTGCGGGCGGCTTCTGCTCGGCGGCCCTGCGCCCGCTGCACGCAGCAGCGCCTGCCTCCACGGGGCGTTGGGCCCTCCGTCGCCGCCGCCCCCCTCGCGCTCCAGGGAGCGCACCCCTGGCCGCCCTCGTCGTCGCCCGGCGGAGCCCCCCCCCCGACACACCCCTGAGATCCTGGCGCGCAATCTTTTCACCACGGGCGTCGTCGCTCCATTTCGGGCCCCGGGACCCTCACAGATCGATCCGGCTCGAAAAAGGATGCCGCAGAAAGATGGGGTCAGGGGCTCTGGTCGTCACCTTGTACTGTGACAGAGCGGGGACAACTCGGGGCTCCCGCCGCGGGGCGCGCCGGGTCGCACACGTCCGAGGTTTCAGTCTCGAGACGTGTTCTGTCCGATGTGGTTCGGCTTTGGTTCGGCACCGCTCCGCAGCCGCCACCACCTCGATCGATCGGTCGATCCTGATGGAACGAGTTTGCAGCTGCCAATCGCTCTCCTCATCCTCCTGTTTCTCATCCTCGTCCTCCTCCTCCTCTTCTTCCTCCTGCTGCCCCTCCTGCTGCTCCTCCTGCTGTTCCTCCTGCTGCTCCTCCTGCTGCTGCTCCTCCTTCTCTTCCTTCTCCTCCTCCTCCTCCTCCTCCTCCTCCTCCTCCTCCTCCCTCCCTCCCTCCCTCCCTCCCTCCCTCCCGCCCTCCCTCCCCTCCCTCCCTACCTCCGCTCCCTCCTCTCCCTCCTTCGTCCCTCCCCCTGGTCTCCTCCTCCTCCTCCTCCTCTTTCCTCCTCACCTCCTCCTCGCTGCTCTCATCCTAGCTCCTTCTCCTCCGCCTCTCCTCCTCCGCCTCCTCCTCCTCCTCCTCTTCCTCCTCCTGCTCCTCTTCCTCCTCCTGTCCTCCTCCTCTTTCCCCCCTCCTCCGTCGTCCTCGCTCCTCCTCTGCTCCTCCTCTTCTCCTCCTCCTCATCTTCTTCTTCTTCTTCTTCTTCTTTCTCCTTCCTCCTAACTTGTTTCCTCCTCCTCCGTCATCCTCATAAAGTTTCTCCCTCCTTCCTCCTCTTCTCCTCGTCCTCACTCCTCCTCCTGCTCCTTCTGCCTCCTCCTCCTCCTCCTCCTCCTCCTCCTCCTCCTCCTCTCGCCTCCTCCTCCTCCTCCGCCTCTCCTGCCCCTCCTCCTCTCCTCCCCTCCTGCCTCCTCCTCGCTCCTCGCGTCTGCCCCGCCCCCCTCTCTCCCTCCCTCCCTCCTTCCTCCTCCTCCATCCATCCATCATCCCATCCATCCATCCATCCATCCATCCATCCATCCATCCATCCATCCATCCATCCATCCATCCATCCATCCATCCATCCATCCATCCATCCATCTATCCATCCATCCATCCATCCATCCATCCATCCATCCATCCATCCCTGCTGCTGCAACTGCTGCTGCTGTTGGCCCTCTTCCTGCTCCTCCTGCTGCTCATGCTCGTGCTCTTGCTCCTGCTTCTGCTCCTGCTCCTGTTCCTGCTCCTCCTCCTCCTCCTCATCATCCTCTTTATCCTCTTCGTTTTCCTCCTCCTCGTCTCCTCCTCCTCCTACTCTTCCTCTCCTCATCCTCCTCCTCCTCCTGCTCCTCCTCCTCCTCCTCTTCCTCCTCCTCCTCCTCCTCCTCCTCCTCCTCCTCCTCCTCTCCTCCCCTCCTCCTCCTCCCCCTCCCTCCTCCTCCTTGTCCTCCTACTCCTCCTCCTCATCCTCTCTCCTCCTTGTCCTCCTCCTCCTCCTGCTCCTTCTCCTCCTCCTCCTCCTGCTCCTTCTCGTCCTCCTCCTGCTCCTCCTCCTCCTCCTCCTGCTCCTCCTCCTCCTCTTCCTCCTCCTCCCCTCCTCCTCTTCCCTCCTCCTCCTCCTCCGCCTCTTCCTCCTCCTATTCCTCCTCCTCCTCCCCCCCCCTCCTCTTTGTCCTCCTTCCCCTCCTCTTCCTCATCCTCCGCTTCCTCTTCCTCCTCCGCCTCCTCCTCCTCCTCCTCCTCCTTCTCCTCTTCCTCCTCATCCTCTGTCTGGCAACCCCATCGGGCGTCCACTCGCGGTCGCCGCGCCGCGCCCGACCGCGCGCGAGCGCGCCGCCGGGGCCGGCGCGGGACCTACCCGTTCCGGAGGGGGGGAGGAGGGCCGCCCACTCTCCTGCTATATGACTTCCCTGATGCCACGGAGGGGGGGGGACGGGGGGTAGAGCGGCGGTGCCACCCAGCCATAGCATATATACTTGCTGTAGGCGTAATACCTTGGCAGTGACAGTGTACGCGGAGAGCTTGTCCGTAGCTCTGTGTAGACGCGGTACGTAGACGTCAGTCACACCCTTGTCCGTAGTGCTGTAGAGCAAATACTACCGGCACGCAGGAGGATAATCCGCTGGACTGCCACAGCCAGCGGTTTCTGGTGGGCCACTGTCACCGTAAGTATTGCGCCATCCGATCGTAGACTACGTCGAACAAGCTTTCGCCATGGAGCACGTCGAAGAAGAATTTGGCCACGCCTGGGTGGCCTTCAGAGGCTACGAGGACGCGCTCGAATACGTCGTCATTGTTCATCGGGTTGTGATATAGGCAGGCTCGAGCCATCTCTTGGAACGTGACGGCGACCCGCCTCTTGTGTTACATGTCAATGGGCTCACCGCTGGTACTCTTAACGCCCACGGCCATCAATCCCGATCAGACTGCCCAGCGCTCCACGGTTTCCCTCGCGTCCAGAATACCCTTGAGGCCATTGTGGCTCTTCTGGTTTTTGATCCCGACTGCTCGGGGCGGCACCATTTGTCGTAGTCCTGCGTGTTCAGGTGCTTCGGCTTGTTCTTGTAGTCAGGCTAGTTCTGCCGGTGGTTCTCGTATCTCAGGTGGTTGCTCTCGTCGCTCCTCGGGTGGTCCTCGTAGCTCCGCCGACGGCTCTGTTCGCGACGGGCCTGTTTAGCTTGTTGGCCATGTCGCTCAGCAGGGGGTCCTCGTAGCTATGCTGGTGGCCCTCGGAGGTCTGCTCGTGACCCTGGCAGTTCAGATTGTTGCCCTGGTAGCTCTGCGGGAGGCTCTCGTAGTTCTGCCTGTGGTCCGCGTGGCTCAACTTGCGGCCCTCGTAGCTCCGAAAGTGGCCTTCGAAGCTGAGCTGGTGGGTCTCGGAGTTCTGCTTCTGGTCACTGCAGTTCAGCTGGTCGCCCCAGTGACTCTGCAGGAAGGCCCTGGTAGTACTTCCTGTAGTCTGCGTAGCTCTGGTTGTGCCCACGAAGCTCCGCCTGTGGCCCTCGTAGCTCTCGTAGCTGTGCCTGTGGTCCTCGTAGCTCAGCTCGGAGTCCTTGTGGCTGTGCCAGTGACTCTCGTGGCCGTGCATCTGGGCCTCGTAGCCCAGTCTGTGGTCCGCAGATGTCTGCTGGGGGCCCTAGTTTTTCTTCTGGTGGCTGTAGTAGATGTGCCTGTGGTGGGCCTAGAAGGTCCTCCGGACGAGGCGGAGGTCGTGCAGAAGGCAGGGCAACCGCAGGAACCGGCCAGTTCTTGTACTTGGAAGCCTTCTTGCGGCCAGGGCTCAGAGGACGTGCAGGTGGTCGACGAGGAGGAGCGGTGCGACGCGCCGCAGGCTCTGCCTGCGGCCGTAGTAGCTCTGTTCGTTGTCCTCGTAGCCCAGCTGCTGCCTCCGGTAATTCAGCTGGTGGCTCTCGTAGCTCAACTGGTGGCCCTCGTAGCGTAGCGGATGGCCCTCGTGGTTCACGTCGGTCCTCGTAGTCCTGCTTGTGCCCTTCGTAGCTCAACTTGCGGACCGCGTGGTTCAGCTTGTGGCTCTTGTGACTTTGCTGGTGGCCCTTGTAGCTCGGCAGGTGGGTTCTGACGCTCTTCTGGTGGCTCTCGTAGCTGTGCCCGTGGTCCTCGCAGCTGTGGTCATCGGACGGCCGCTGGTGGCCCTGGTAGCTCTGCTGGTGACTGTAGTAGCTCTGCTCGCTGCCCTCGAAGCTCAGGTTGCGGTGTTGCCTTCGTAGCTTCCCAGGTGGCCCTCGTGGCTCTGCCGATGGCTCTGGAAGCTCTGTTCGTGGCTCTCGTAGCTGAGCTGATGGCTTCGGTCGTTTATCTTGTAGTCCACGTAGCTGCGCTGGCGGCACTCGTAAATGGTGGCCCTCGTGGCTCAGCTGGTGGCCTCGTAGGCTTGTGGCTCACGTAGGTTGTGGCTCACGTAGGTCAGCTCGCGGCCCCCGCGGCTCAGCCTGTGGCTTTCGTGGCTCTGTTGGTGACTCTCGTAGCTCGGCAGGTGGGTCTTGAAGCACCTCTGGTGGCTCTCGTAACTGCGCGCGTGGTCCTTAGTTCAGTTTGTTGTTGGCGAAAGTGGCCCTGGTAGCTCTGCGGGTGGCTGTAGCAGCTCAGAGGGCACGCTCTCTGAGTAGTTCCCGACGTCCAAATCGGAGTCGTCGGCTGCCAAGTAATAGTTTTCAAAGTTCTGGAGGCCAGATTAATCATGGGGGTCGTAGGAGTACAGGACGCCATCGAAACAACCAGCCGTTGTCTTACTCGCAATAAGGCGGCGCGGCCGTCATCACACGAGTCCTAGGCGGCGCGGCCGTTGTCCACCAGTGCCCCCACGACGACGTACTTAGTAACCCCTTCGGGCTGCTCGCTCGCGCGTCGTTCCTGGTGTCGGTCTTGGTGGCGTACTTGGTGTCGTACTGGCGGTGGCACTTGTCCTCGGGCTGCCTGTTACGCAGCCCAATAATCGTGCTTGCGTTGCCTGTTACGTAATTCGGTCTCGCACTGGGGCTGCTTATTACGCCGCTCGTGCCCGGACGCTCTCGCGAGGGCGGTCGCAGCAATGATAGTGATGTCGTCGGGTCGGGGCTGTATCCCACGCCAGAGTTTGTACCCCACTCGCTTTTGGGCAGCATCTGTTCGCGCTCATGTTCGTCTACATGTGTGGCCTCGGCATTCTTGCCAACGCGTCTCCGCAAAAATGGGTGATTCTCGTCGCCTTGTAAGTCCATAGCTGGTGGTTGGTGTTGTCGTCGCGGTAAGTCTTTTTCTCGCGGCTGTTCTCCTACTGGTGGATGATCTTGTAGTCCCAGCTGATCACCCGCAGGTGGATGAAGCTGTACACCCACTCGTTGTTGCAGACGTGGTGCGCGCGCAACCGATCGCGGCCGCGCGCTGCGGGCCGCCACCCCTTCGGACCCGGCGCGGCGGCGTGGGGGCCCAGGGCCAGGTCGCCCTCCTCCTCCTCCTCCTCCTCCTTCTTCTCCTCCTCCTCCTCCTCCTCCTCGCACGTGGCCGCAGGCGGACACGTTCCTTATCCAAGCCGCTCTAAGGCCCACCAACCTTCTCCTCCTCCTCCTCCTCCTCCTCCTCCTCCTCCTCCTTCCCCTCCTCCTCCTCCTCTTCCTCCTCCTCCTCCTCCTCCTCCTCCGCCCCCTCCTCCCCGAACTCCCGCCGATCACCCCCAGACGCCCTCCGAAGTGGTCCGCCCAGGGCGTTCCTGCCGCCGCCTGGTCGCCCGGTAGTCCACGGGACCGTGGTCCCCGCCGCCGACCTGGCGGGGGCCACGGCTCGCAGACGCCGCCGGCGGCGGCGCCACCGGGTTGCCGCCGCCGCCGCCGATGACGACGACGCCGGCGGCGTCGTCGTCGTCGTCGTCGTCGCCGTCGTCGTCGTCGTCGGCGTCGTCGTCGTCGTCGTCGTCGTGGTCCGCGTCGTCGTCGTCGTCCTCGTCGTCGTCGTCGCCGTCGTCGTCGTCGTCGTCGGCGTCGTCGTCGTCGTCGTCGTCCGCGTCGTCGTCGTCCTCGTCGTCGTCGTCGCCGTCGTCGTCGCCGTCGTCGTCGTCGTCGTCGTCGTCGTCGTCGTCGTCGCCGTCCGTCGTCGTCGTCGTCGTCGCCGACGCCGTCGCTGTCGCTGTCGTCGTCGTCGTCGTCGCAGCCGCCGCCGCCGCCGTCGTCGTCGTCGTCGTCGTCGCCGTGGTCGCCGTGGTCGCCGTGGTCGTCGTCGTCGTCGTCGTCGTCGTCGTCGTCGTCGTCGTCGTCGTCGTCGTCGTCGTCGTCATCGTCGTCCTCGTCTCGTCGGGGAGGAGGGGAGGACAAGCTAGGTGCGCTCGCGCCTCATTTTACATCGTATCCCTTCCACCCTCCCTGCCATGGCGCTGATTTTGCTCTGTCCGCGGACGCGTGTCATAGCCGACCTGCGGCTCACACAGTCACACAGAAAGACCACTTCATGTCATGCACAATCAGAAAGAAGGGAGCTGAGTGCACAGAAGGAGGAGGTGGAGGAGGAGGAGGTGGCGGGTGAGCAGGAGGATGAGCGGGAGGAAAAGATGAGGACGAACATCAACAAGAACTAACGCGGAACAATCGGGAGGGAAGGGAGGACCAGGGGAAGACGGAGGGGAAATGAGGGGGGCGGCAACGACGAAGAACAGCTCGGATTCGGAAAGAAGGGCCCTCGCTGGGGCGAGACGAACAGCAGCAGCAGGAGCTGGAGCGGAAGCAGCGGGAGGAGCACGAAGACCCGGGGAAGGGGGAAACGAAGAGGGGGGTGCCACACATGAAGCAGGACTCGGATCCAGAACAGGGGCCCGCGCTGGGGCGAGCGCGCCACTCTGCACGACGGGAGCCACGCGGCGATCCGCACGTGAGGCCCAAGAGGTCGTCCACTCCGTGCCGCCAGCCGGACGAGGGAGGTGCAGCGCGCCTCCTCGCGCCGCCCGGAAGCGGGCGAGCCGGAGCTCCCCCGCCCCGCTCCTCGCTCGGTACTCTGCGGGACGCTCCGACCAACGGCCGCTCGCGCCTGACGTTCGTCGGGATCGGCGCTGGCTGCATGGATCGAGGTATCTGGACGTTTTGGCAGGTCTGGCCCTGCGATGCGGTTTTCTGGCGACCTCGAGACTTCCAGAGACCTCCTGGGGCCTCGAGGAGACGGCGTGGATCCAGCCGGGAAAACGCCTTTCTTGACATGAGCGGGAAGCGCGTGAAAGCGACGAGCTTTGCAAGAACGTGCAGCACCATCACGATAAAATGCTATGCAGACGAGCTCTCCGAACGCCCAGGGAGGTGTCTGGTCATCCTCTTCACTCCTCATGTTTGCCGTGATTCTTTTGAACCCACCTGCGATTCCCACTTCGAGCTAAAGTTGGCTGCGCCTGCCGTGTGGCGACCTGCGCCAGACAGCTGCGTCGATGGCAACGAAATGTTAGCAACCACTGCATGGAATAACGATGACGCGAAAGAAAGTCGAATTTACTTTCCGCGCGAGTTCAGACGAGGCGCACCTTCCGCCGGCGCATCGCGACATGATCCTCCTCCAGACCCCCAACCTCCTCACACGCGTTCCCCTATGTCAAGCGAATTTACTTTCCGCGCGCTTTCAGACGAGGCGCACCCCCCGCTGTCGCATCTCGGCATCATCCGTCTCCAGGCCCCCCACCCCCCCACTCGCGTTCCCCATAGGTCAGGTCGGGTGTACTTTCCGCGCGACAGCAAACGAAACGCACCCCCCGCTGGCGCATCTCGGCATCATCCGTTTCCAGACCCGCAACCTCCCCACTCGCATTGCCCCATGTCATGTCGAGTCCACTTTCCGCGCGAGTTCAGACGAGGCGCACCTCTCACTGGCGCATCTCGGCATTATCAGTCTCCAGACCCCCAACCTCCCCACTCGCGCTCCCCTATTTCAAGTGGGGTTTACTTTCCGCGCGAATTCAGACGAGGCGCACCCCCCGCTGGCACATCTCGGCATTATCCGTCTCTAGACCCCCAACCTGCCCACCCGCGTTCCCGAAATCGACTTTGCGTTCCGCACGAAGTTATACGAGGCGCACCCCCCGCTGTCGCATCTCGGTATGATCCGTGTCCAGGCCCCCAACCTCCCCACTCGCGTTCCCCATAGGTCAGGTCGGGTGTACTTTCCGCGCGACTGTAGACGAAACGCACCCCCCCCGCTGGCGCATGTCGCCATGGTCAGTGTCCAGACCCCAAACCTCCCCACTCGCGTTCCCCCAAGCCCATGTCAGGTCGAGTATACTTTCCGCGCGAGTTCAGACGAGGCGCACCCCCCGCTGGCGCATCTCGGCACTATCCGTCTCCAGACCCCCGACATCCCCACTCGCGTTCCCACGTGTCAGGTCGAGCTTACATTCCGCACGGGTTCAGTCGAGGAGCACCTCCCGCTGGCGCATCTCGAAATTATCCGTCTCCAGATCCTCAACCTCCCCACTTGCGTTCCCCTTATGTCAGGTCGAGCTTACTGTCCGCGCGAAGTCAGACGAGGCGCACTTCCCGCTGGCGCATCTACGATGACGACGACAACAGTGACGACGATGATGACGACGATGACGATCACGACGACAATGACGAGGAGGACGACGACAACGACGATGACGATGATGATGACAACGACGACGGCAACAACGATTACGACGACGACGACGATGCAAATTTGGATGGTGTATCGAACGAAGCGCATAGTTTTGAGCGAAACTGTTAGACGCCATGGTTATGTTCAAGATTCTGCCTCTTGGGCAGCCTTGGGGGTCCTCCAAGTAATGCGTCAAACTAAATGTCATAAGACAGCGTATTGCACATCGCATGTGTTGGAGGATGTTTCAGGCAGGAGCTTCATTTTTGACAATACGACGAATCCGCAAGCTCCCTGGACATTTGTTGTTCGAGGATGTCTCGGGTGACAGCTACGTGCTTACCATAAGATGTTTAATCACAGCTCTTTCGGCGTATAATGTTGCAAGGATGTCTCAGGCGGACCACCCATTTTGGGAGATCGGCAAATTTCGCGCGAGATTTCAAGATCTTCATTTTTCGAGGATATCTGCAGCGAGAGCTTCATGTTTAACAGAACGCGCCCTAAAATAGATCCTCCGAGAACTCCATGTTGTGAGGATGTCTCTGGCGAAATGGCCATTCTGGGAAAATCGCCAGGCTTCCGCAACGGAGGACCCCCGAGGCCTTCCCCTCCGGCACCTCCCCAATTGAAAAATATGTTCTCTCTGGGCCGAAACCAACGTCCATCGCGCGACTCTTCGAATCTTAGCGCGCTTCCCGTCACCCGTCAGGGCCGGGACAAAGAAGCTGCCCCGAGGCCTGCCCCTCCTGCACCTCCCCACATGAAATCATGTTCCTTCCGGGCGGAAGCCGTCCATCGCGCGACTCTTCGAGCGTTTGCACGTTTTTTATAAACAAACGACCGCTACCCCAGTCCAAGAGGTCTAGCAAGCTATCGCAAGGCCAACCGCGTGGTCGACCCGCGCGCTTGCGCATCCATAGACGTCACCTGCGGAGCATGCCACCCCCTGGTGGGAGGCTCGCATATTAGTACCTGGTCCTCTGGCCAAGGGGTTGGTGGCAGGCAAGGAAGCTCAAACGGCGCAACGCGGCAGGCGCAGAGAAGCATAGAACACCGATGCTGGAGCCGCCCTTACCATCGTGCAAAGACGGCAACGCTCCAGGATGGTGAAACGAGGGCGGCAGACAGGCAGATCGACCATCTGTCTGCGGGCTGCGGGCCGAGCCAAACTCGAAGTCACCAGCGCAGCAGGCCAAGGACAGGGGAAAAGACAGGAGACACGCCAGCGTTGGAAAACAATTCAAAACTACATGCGCAACAGCTGAATCCTCACCAGCGCGAGAACAACAAAACTTGGCCGAGTCAGAGAACTGCGATCGCTGTCGGCTCTCACGGGCTACGGAGGAGTACTACACAAGCTTCTCGTTCTGCTCGATCCGAAGGTCACGGAATTGGTTAGTGTAGTCGACCGAAAACCACCGGATGTAGGTGCACGGGAAGCCAAGCCACTTGGTAACTGTCGGGTCCCACACAGTTTGTTTGTACAGCCAGGGACAGACCTTGCTGAGGGTCCTCAACTCCGCTGCGTCGAGGTAGCAAATACGTCGAACAGAAAGCTGGCGTTAAGCGTGCACGATGGCATGTGGTGTCGGGATCATCCTGAACGTCCTCGAGCCAAATGACCATGTTATAGCAGAACAGAGAGATGAACGAGGCCCCGTCGCGCTCCAACACTTGAGCTCCCACGCGTCTCCCGAAGCTGTTGCTACTTCTGCGTCGCCGAGCTGGGTGGCCCCATTGCGTCGGTCTGCCACAACGCCCTGGTCGACCTTGAGATCGGACCACGACCATGCTCGCCATCTGGCGAGAATGGCACGGCAGGCACGGTGAAAGCCCCTGGTGCTGTGCACTGGTTCGTTCCCATCATCGGCGTCATACGATGTCATGGAGCTCCACGGTGATCGTGCCGTCACCGAACGCTCGGCCTTCCAGCGTGGATTGAGTCGGCTAGCGATGGCGAGAAGAAGAGAAACGAGACATATCATGTACTGCCATTGACTGGGAGGCATGCTGCGCGGGGGCTTGCGACCCCGCTGACACGATGCAAGTCGCCATAAACGCTCGAGCCAGGGCCTTCTTAGCGCGATTCCCGTCATCCGCCACCGTGCCTGCGGCACGTTGAGGCGTGGAACAATGCCAAGGACTGACTGGCAAGGCCTCTGTAGCCTTCTAAGGACCCCCCCCCGCTCACATCCACCCCACTTCATCGGCCTGGGCGGCCATGTCGCCTCGCTGGGGCTCCTCAAAGCTTCTATGACGGCCCAGAAGGCCCCCAAGATGGTCAAAGAGGGCCCCGAGTCGCCGAACGATCGTTCGAAGATGCCGAAGATGGACTCCAGATGGCCCCAGAGGCCTTCAAGACGCCCCGGGAGGTCTCCAAGAGGCCTCCTAAGAGGGCCCCGAGAGACAAATATCATAGATGTTGCTTAAAAGTCGTTGAATGATTTTGGCTTTCTCGCCTTTTCGGCAACCCGACGCTCCAAGACGGCCCACGAGGCCCCCAAGACCACCCCAGAACGGCCCACGAGGCCAGACGGCCAAAGAGCGCCCGAAGACGGGCTAAGAGGCGCCCAAGACGCCCCAAGAGGGCCCCAAGACGGCCGCAAAAGGAGCCCAAGAGAAGGAACACGAACCGAAAATCCGAGACTTCCGCCCCAAGGCCCCCAGGAGGCCCCAAGAGGCGCCCAAGAGGCCCCAAGAGGCCCCCAAGAGGCCCTCAAGAGGCCCCAAGAAGCTCCCAAGAGGCCCAACAGAGGCCCCTAAACGGCCCCCAAGAGGCTTCAAAACTGCCTCCAAGAGGTCCCCGAGAGGCATCCCACGAGATCCCGACGACCGTCCAAGAGGCCGCACAATCCAGGGACGGTGGCGGGACGTGCCGTAGGCAGCTGGATCCGCCGCCCCCTGCTTGCAGGGGTGCACGGCGTGCTGGACGTTTCAGGTCTTGGTTTTGGTTCTTTTTCTAAAAGAACTCTCCAGTGGGCTCCGGCCCGTCCCGCCACCGTGCCCAAAAACGGCCGTTTCGCTCGGGACATCCTCAAAAAATCGCGGAGATGGCCCAAGATGGCCTCCAAGTCCGCCCGAGATGGTCCAAGACGGCCTCCAAAACGGCCCAAGAGAGTCCAAGACGGCCCAAGACGGCCCAAGAGGCCCCCCAGAGGCCTCCCAGACGGCCCAAGAGGCCTCCAAGAGGTCCTCCAGGAGAGTCCGAAGAGGGCAAAATCATTGATTTTCCCTTGGTTTTTGAAGGATTTTGGCATTTGCGCCTTTTCGGCTCTCCGACGGCTCAAGACGGCCCAAGAAGCCCCCAAGATCGCCCAAGAGGCCCCCAAGAGAGCCCCCTGATGGCCCAAGTGGCCTCCAAGATGGCCCCTAGAGGGCCCCAAGACGGCCCAAGAGGCCTCCAACACGCCCAAGATGGCCTCCAAGACGCCCAAGATGGCCTCCAAGACGGCCCTGGAGCGCCCCAAGAGGGTCCCCCGTTGGCCCAGAAAGGCCCCCAAAACGGCTCCCGACGGCGTCAGACGTGCCAGGAACCCACCAAGATGGCCGAAGTTGGCTCGAAGCTGGCCCAAAAGGGCCCAAGAGGCCCCCAAGAGGGCCTCCAGGAAGGCCAAAAGATGCCAAAATCACTGATTTTCCCAAGGTTTTTGATGGATTTGGGCATTTCCCTTCTTTCGGCGGCCTTCCGACGGCCCGAGACGGCCCAAGAGCCCCCAAAGATCGCCGAAAGATCGCCCAAGAGGCCTCCAAGACGGCGACGATGACCATCAAGACGCCCACGTGTTCCCCGAAGGCTTTCCAAACCGATTCGGGGAACACATGGTCCGATGGCTTGGCAGGTCTGGCCTCAACGTTCGGCCACATAGGCGCTTCCACAAAGGCAGGGGGCGGCGGTGATTCGCCGTAGGCGTCTTCGATCCGCCGCCCCCTGTTGATTCATCACAGGGGTGCCTGGCGTGCTAGATGATTTCGGTTTTGGTTTTGGTTCTTTTCCAAAAGAACTCCCCCTGGGGCTCCGGCGCGTCCCGCCGGCCACCCGGAAGACCCGGTTGCAAACATTTTCCTGACGGCCGCGGAAGACCCAGACGGCCCCAAGATGGCTTCCAAGACGGCTAAGATGGCCCCAATATGCCTCCAAGACGACCCCAGATGCACCCAAGACGGCCTAAAATAGCCTCAAGATGGCCGAAGACGGCCCAAGACGCCCCCAAAAGGCCTCCCAGCATTGATTTCCCTATGTTTTTGAAGGATTTGGGCATTTGCGTCTTTTCGAGATTCCGACGGCTGAAGACGGCACAAGAGGCCCCAAAGATCGCCCCAAGATCGCCCAAGAGGCCTCCAAGAGCGCCCCATGACGGCCTGAGAGGCCTCCAAGACGGCACGAAGAGGGCCCTAAGACGGCCCAAGAAGCCTCCAAGACGCCCAAGACTGCCTCCAAGACGGCCCGAAGCGCCCCAAGAGGGCCCCAAGTCGGTTCAGAGAAGCCCCCAAGACGGCCCCCGACGGCGTCAGACGTCCACGTGTTCCCCGAAGGCGTTCCAAACAAATTCGGGGAACACATGGTCCGATAGTTTGGCCAAGCTCTAACCCAACTTTCGGCCACATCGGCGCTCCCACGAAGGCAGGGGGCGGCGGTGATTCGCCGTAGGCGTCTTCGATACAAGGAAGAATGAAGAAATTGAGGGACAAAGAAATGAGCACGGGAGGAAGGATGACGGAAGGAGGGAGGATGAGCGACGTTCCAAAGTGTTTCGACTGAGCGCTATGTGCCGAGGAGGCGGCAAGGAGGAGGCACACAAAAGGGGAATGAGAACGGATGAGGACCTCGAAGGGGCAGGAGGGAAGAGGAAGAGGAGTAGGAGGAAGAGGAGGAGGAGGAGGAGAAGGAGAAGGAGGAGGAAGAGGAGAAGGAAGCCGCTTGCAGGAGGAGTGGGAAGACGAGGAGCAAGTAGGCAAGGAACAGGAGAAGGACGGAGGGGAAGGTAAGGCGATGAGAGGAAGCAGGAGGATAACCAGGAAGGAAGACGCGGAGAAGGGAGGGGGGCGTTGAGGACGATCATGAACAGCAGAGAGGAGGAGGACGAGGAGGAGGAGGAGGAGGAGGAGGAGAGGAGGAGGAGAGGGAGAAGGGAGAAGGGAGAAGGGAGAAGGGAGAAGGAAGAGGAGGAGGAGGAGGAGGAGAGGAGGAGGAGGAGGAGGAGGAGGGAGAGGCCGACCCGTGCTGGCGCGTAGGGCGGGCGCCCCGTCAGCAGCTCGTGCGCCACCACGCCGAGGCTGAACACGTCGACCTTGCCGTCGAAGCCGCCTCGCGGGGGGCGGACCCCGCCGTCCTGCAAGCGCGCGCTGCCACTCGCCCAGCGCCCTCTGCAGCTGACCGACATGCTTAGGCGGCACGGTGCGACTCCAGTCAGAAAGCCTCCCCTTCAGCTCACTCCCCCCTCTTCGCTCCCTCCTCCCTCTGCCCTTCTCCCCCCCCCCTCCCCAGCTTCCCCCTCCCTCCCTCTCCTC